TTCTTTAAGCGCAATGGAGCAACTGTGTCTAAAGTGCTGGAAAAGAGAGAGTCCTTAGCAATCATCTGTAGATTTTTTTTTTTTTTTTAAATCTGTGCATTTCTACAATGACGTAGGAAACTCTTAAGGGCTCAACGTCTTGTTGTCAGTAATCAAATTAACCTTTTTGAATGTTTAGCAATCATTTCTGTTGCAACATCGAGTTCTTCTAAGCTATCTGGGATGCTGACGAGATTAAACTGATCAGGAAGATTATTTATAAAGCAATCTTTAGTGGCAAAAGTGATATTTCAACCATATTTATAACAGAGTCGGCTTTGCAACCTTGGCTAAATTAAGTATACACGAGACTAGATAATGATCTGAGATGTCATCGCTCTGCTGCAGAATTTCAACGGCATCAACATTGATTCCATGTTACAGACCTATCTCTCTCCTACCATTCATTGCGAAAACACTTGAACGAGTTGCTTTCAACCAAGTATCATCTTTCCTGTCTCTGAACGACCAGCTGGATGTCAACCAATCTGGCTTCAAGAAAGGGCATTCAACCGAGACCGCATTACTATCAGTCACAGAAGCCCTGCGGATCGCTAAAGCTGCTTCCAAGTCATCAGTTCTCATCCTCCTGGACCTCTCTGCTGCCTTCGACACTGTGAATCATCAGATCCTTCTGTCCACCCTCTCATCACTGGGCATCACTGGAACTGCCCTCCACTGGTTTGAGTCCTATCTCACAGGTAGGTCCCTCAGGGTCGCATGGAGAGGCGAGGTATCCAAAGCACATCAACTGACCACAGGGGTTCCCCAGGGTTCAGTGCTTGGACCGCTCCTCTTCTCCATTTACACCACATCACTGGGACCCATCATACAGGCACATGGTTTCTCTTACCATTGCTATGCTGATGACACCCAGCTCTACCTCTCATTTCAACCAGATGATCCCACAGTAGCTGCTCGAATCTCAAGCTGTCTGGCGGACATCTCGGCATGGATGAAGGAACATCACCTGCAGCTCAACCTGACAAAAACTGAGCTTCTCATCCTCCCTGCTAATCTGTCTCCACAGCACGACTTCACTATCCAGCTAGATTCTTCCTCAATCACCCCATCAAAGTCGGTCAGAAATCTTGGTGTAATCTTTGATGACCAGCTGACCTTCACAGACCACATTACAAAGACAGCTCGATCATGCAGGTTTGCACTGCACAACATCAGGAAGATCAGGCCTTTCCTAACTGAGCATGCAACACAACTTCTTGTCCAGGCCCTGGTTATCTCTAGGCTTGATTACTGCAATGCTCTTCTGGCTGGACTTCCATCATGTGCAACTAAACCTCTACAAATGATCCAGAACGCTGCTGCTCGTCTGGTCTTCAACGAGCCCAAAAGGGCCCACGTCACTCCTCTGTTCATCTCCCTGCACTGGCTACCACTCGCTGCTCGCATCAAGTTCAAGGCTTTGACACTTGCTTACAGATTGACCACAGGCTCAGCTCCCTCCTACTTTCACTCGCTCCTACGAGTCTACATCCCTACCAGAAGCCTACGATCAGTCAATGAGCGACGGCTCGTGGTACCTTCACAAAGAGCCACAAAATCACTCTCCAGAACATTCTCATTCACGGTTCCATGCTGGTGGAATGATCTCCCCACCCTCGTCCGAAATGCAGAATCCCTGACAGCATTTAAAAGACAACTGAAAACTCATCTCTTCTGTGAGCACTTAACTTAAAGTGAACTTAAACTTAAAAAAAAAAAAAAAACTTTAAATCCTCACTTGTCTGGTTTATGCTACTCTGAGCAATGTTTGAACTTTGTATTTTGAGCACTTCTTGGGTTGCTATTGTCTCTTCACGATGACTCGTTTGGTTAGTCCTCAGATGTAAGTCGCTTTGGATAAAAGCGTCTGCTAAATGACTAAATGTAAATGTAAATGTAAATGTGACAATATTAGATCTAAAGTATGATTACGACAATGAGTGGGTCCTCACACGTGTTGTCTAACTCCAATAGAGTTTAGAATGTCTAAATGCTAATCCCAATGCGTCTTTTTCATTATCTACATGGATATTAAAATCACCAACAATTACAGCCAGTACTAACTCTGATAGAAAATCAGCAAATTCTTTGATAAAATCTGTATGGTGGCCTGTATACAGTAGCCAGCACAAATGTCAAACGGGATTTATCACTTACACTAGATAACGTTACAGAAAGCACCATCACTTCAAAAGAATTATACTTGAAACTAGACTTCTGAGTAATACTGAGGCTATTGCTATAAATTACAGCAATACCTCCCCCTTTTCCTTTTAAACGAGCCTCGTGTTTAAAGCAGTAATCTTGTGGGGTGTACTCATTTAAAGTAATGTACTTGTCTGGTTTTACCCCATTTTCTGTCAAACACAGCACATCTAGGTTATGGTCTGTAATCATATCAATAACAATAAGTGCTTTTGAAGAAAGGGATAGAATATTCTTTATCATTTGTTCATCTGCATTATATTTGTTTTTTATTTGTTGAACATCAATCAAATTTTTACCCTTAAATGGGTTTATGAGTTTTTTGTATTTCTTAGTTCGGGGAACAGACATAATCTCTATGTGATGATATCTAGGTGAAAGAGTCTCTATGTGATGGGATTTATCTGACCTCAGTGACGTGAGACAGCTGGCAGACGGTCAGTTTAGCCAGTCTGTCTGCTTCCTGACCTGAGCCCCAGATTGTCATGTTTGATCTCTAAGACTATGTGCCATATTACTAGAGAGAAGAGCAACACCATCCCAGGAGGGATGAATACCATCTCTTTTCAACAGGTCAGGTCTGCCCCAACAACTTTTCCAATTGTCTATGAACCCTATATTATTTTGCAGACACCACTTAGACAGCCAGCCATTGAGTGAGGACAGTCTACTAAGTATCTCATCACTCCTTCGAACAGGAAGGGGGCCAGAGAAAATTATAGAGGTCTATCACCTCATCACTGATAACTACATGTGAGGCCTGGGTGAAATAAGGGAAAGAATAATGATAAAACATGCAGAAGTGATATACAACTGAACTGTTAAAGGCCATGGTGCAGGTTAAACACCACTGTCGATTAATGGGTACATAAAGCAGTTAAGATATGTATATAAAGTTAGAAATGTCTCCAAAATTGTGTTAAAGTCCAGTTTTTGACGTTTTTGGTTAGTAACGGTTATTTTTTTACGCGACTCGGCGATGACGTCACATGAGGTAGACGCAGGCAGCGGCGCGCTTGGTTTAGTTACAGTTCTGATGGTTCACAGCCGAGGAGATCGATGTTCTCGTCAGGGCCGTAAAATAAAGAGAAGTGACATTGGGCCGGGGATGGGACAAACCCACCCAAATTAGCTTCGGTTAAACATGCACATAATAATTTGGGTAGGAAATGTGTACGCTTTATGCCTATTTTTCCTATCGTCATGAACACAACAATGATTTCACTCGTGTTTAAATAGTTTTCCTTATAATAATGTATCATTTGCAAAAAGTAAAATGCATCTGTGTAGATGAGAGAATCATCTACAGTGTATGCGCGTTGTTCATTCTGTATTATGGCCAAGCATGCGCGCTTAAAATAGCATCTGAATGTACGCGCTAGACCTAGACTTTAGACTAGGTTAGGGTGACCAACAGTCCTGTTTTCACGTCCTGTCCTGGCTGGGTTTTTTTTTTTAATTATGAAAATGTCCTGGTTTTCAAAACTTCTGGGAAAGATCAGCTCTAAAGCAAAACATAGATGGGCAAACAAGGAGAATGAGGAAGAAAAACAGGATAAAGAGGAAGACTAAAGATACATTTTGTTAGTTTGTTTTTGTAAGCTTGTGAGAGCTATTTTTGTTAAATTTGGAGGTATTTCTTTTAGTTATTTCTTATTTATATATTTATTTTTCTAATACAGAAGAGACATTATTTCATTCATTCAAACCTGTAATAATTATATATTTCTTTTTCTAATACAAGAGACATTTCATTCATTCAAACCTTTAATAAAACAGGCTCTGAGAAGGCTATCTGAATTTGTGTCTTGTTATATAACCATTTTCTACAGAGGCATAGGCTACTTTAAATATACTGAAATTAATAAGGCATCGAGTAAATTTCGAGTATAATTTGAGTATCTGTTTGCCAGGCCGAGTGTCCTGCTTTCACCTCTATCTCCAGTGAAAATGTTGTTTGCAAACGTAGCTGACGACGAGTAGGCTGGTCATGTCTTCAGTCAGTGTGATTATTGTTGATAGTGCTAACTAGTTTTCCTCATGACTGTCATTGACACCGTCAGGCTTACCAGGAGAGGGAGTGAGTTGTGGGCGGTGTCGTCCCATGGAAACTGTGGTGGAGAGCTTGTGTTGTAGGGAGGTGAGCGCGTTTTGGTTGCTGGTCGAGGACCTCACCCCGCGGCCAGCAGTTGTAACGTGCCTAACGCAGCATCCTGGATATGAGGCATAATGCCTGAATCCGTTTGTGCTACACATAGCATACTCACACTTCATGCAGGATAATGGTCCCCTTCAAGCCAGCACGCACGAGTATGTTCATTGTTTGTTTACTTTAATTGTTTTAAAGTAAAACTTTTCATTGTTTTTTACACTGAGTCCTTTGAACAACAGCTATAGGTGACAGGAGATGTGTTGCATACACAATAAACATGCATCAGAGACGTTTCCAACCTACTTACAGAGTTTAAAACTTAAGAATCTTTCCTACTTATCCCTAGGCAATACCGGTACACTGCGTACAGGCAGGCTATACGCTGGCCTGGGCTTGGAGTTTTAGGCAGGAGTATAAGAAGCCTCTCGTGTGGTTTCAACCATCAGACAACAATTCCAAAGTCGTGACCAGACCTATCAGGGCTTTCAATCGCCTCGTTTGGATGAAAATGTATAAAAATAATAATTGCTTATTCTGTTGTGATCGCCCAATTTGCCCTCAAAATGTTATAAAGTACACAGAACACATGAATTTCTATAAGAAAAAAAAAACAGTTTATTGGCATTGCTTGTAATGGTTACTAAACATTTACTGAACAAGGACAAAGATTACTGAACAAAGACACAGGTTGCAAGTAAACAAATCTATATCTATATAAAAAAAAGCCCACTGATGTAGGGCTAGACCTGAAACGTTTGCACATTGTTTCTTTTGCCTGCAATAGTGTGGTCCAGAGCCATAGAGAGAGAGAGTTGCGACACTCCCATAGACCGCCATAGGAACTTAAAAATGCGGAAGTAACGCGTGTCGTGGAGCAGCCAATAGTTCCAAACACTGATAGTTCCAGCATTGAACCCCATTCATTTTCAGTGCTTCCGAAGTACGCTCGCTGGTAAAATAATGAAATTACTGTATTTTTTTTACTTTTACACACATTAGCCGACCTCTCGTGAATCTAGTCAGTATATTTTATGTAGCCAGTTTTAGTTAATGCTTATTGGAAGATAATGGGTTACTTGCAGCTAGCTATAGCTCACATGACCAACTCTTCATTAAAGTTAGCTAACTTCTGGTAACCTGAAGTATATATTATATTATTTATAATATATATGCATAGCATATGCATGTATGTATGTTTGTACGCCTATGTATATATACACACATAACCCTAACCCATTTAAGTAAATGAATTGTGTGTGTGTGTGTGTATATATATATATATATATATATATATAGAGTTTATATTTACCGAACATTACTGCAAATTTGTACATGCACACTTATATTTTATGTTGGTAGTAATTCTGAACGGACCGCCTCTCCAGACCTCTTTGCGTGATCACGAAGGTAGGCTAATGGCTGAATCGGAATTTATAAGCAAGATCACGGGAATCAATAGCCTAAGAAAAAAAGTAATGATTTTGTGCAAAGTAAAACCAAAGCAACAGCACACAAAGAAAAAAAAAACATGCAGAATGCAGGAAACCACCACTAAATGAATACTTACAACTAAATCATTGGACTTGTCTGTGGAAAGAAAATAATGTGAAATTAGGTTCTTGTAGCCTGACTGCCGGGCTAGGTAGAGGCTGACGGCCTCCTCAGGAACCTGTTCGAAGGATGTGGCGATGGGGGCGAGTGCATCAGGACAAACTGGCGCTAACCTCTCGAAGAGCTGCAGGTGAATTGGTGTAGCTTTCCCGAAGGGCCTTCATTAATGATGTTGCATAACCTGCAGACATAATAATAATACTGTATAAAGACCATTGACACTAATGGAAACACATGAAATTGTCCTGCATATGAATTATAGCAAACATAAACAGTAAACAGAATGTTACGAGATTGCCAGGGAGATTACAGTACAGTGGACCCTGATATGCGCTACTAAATGTTTTAAAAAATACATAAAAGAAATTCAGAACATATTTGATTATTTGAATGTTACAATTAAATGTTTACACCAATACTAGTGGTAATACATGTGGTAAAGTTACATGAACTCTACGAGGTAGTGAATTTACTGAGAGGTAGCTAAACTCTGAAGTGAGAAGTGGATAAACTGTTTCTGACATAATTTCAGCGGTGGGTAAACTGCGTTTAGCCTCCACTACAGCCCTGACGACACGGTCACGGTCAAATGTGAAAGAGAACCGTAGCAGTCTAACACAAAAAGCAAACACACGATTGCGAAAGCCGCTTGATGATCATCACCACTGATCCAAACTCTACCCATGAAGCTTTCATGACGATATGGACATTTACTTCAGGGCAATTTTGTTTTGGCTCAAATTCGTGAATCACGAAAAATGCTCTTCTAATGTCAGAGTGATCGTGCTTATAGTGGAGGCTGTGTCAAAGGGAACACGGTAGCTATACAAAATACACACAGAGCTAGCTAACACGCAGCTTGTAAACATTAACGTTAGAATGAACTTACCGTGGCAATATCTCGCTTGCGGCAGACGGTGTCTCTCGACCTCGGGACAGGGCAAGCAGAGAGGTTTGCATTCACAGACGGCACGGCGGTAGGAAGTAACTTAGCCATCCTCTCACTCTTTAAACTAAGTGAGACCATCTTGGCATCCCCTGCGTGGTAAATTAATCCTCCTCTTTGAAATGCGCGCTGCATATTCTCGAGTAGGCGGCGACAGAGCTAACTTAGCTGAAAAATCTGCTCGCCTAATCTTGACAAATTGCACCCAGCTTCGGAAGCTCCCTTTGTCCTTGGGGAAACAATGGACCCCATGTCCAGTTTTGATAAAGTTTTTGCACCCGCCACAAACACAGTAATAAACCATTTTGTCTACTTATTATCTAGCTTACTCTTCTCTATCTCTAAGCTGTTATGCTATGCTATCTCTCACTATCTATCTATGTTATGCTTATGATATCTATCTATCTATCTATCTCGATATATTTACTTATCTGACACTGTCACTCTTTCACTAGCTACCGTTAGCTAAGTTACTACTCGCGGGCTTTCGTCTGTTGTCCAACAGCGAGTACCTCATGTGACGTCATGCAATGCATTGTGGGAGAAATTAGAATCCTCGCTAGGCTAGTGGTAAATGCTAACACATCACCGACTTTTCCGTATTATATTTCTTTTTTGTAACCCCCTACAACATAAAATACAAAGGATAACTGTTTAAATGTTTATTACCAACTAGAAAACTGGCAAAAAAAAAAAAAAAAAAAAACCTGCACCATGGCCTTTAAGTAAGATGGCATTTTCTTATAGATGACTTCGAGGAAGACATAATTGAAACACATAGCAGATCATTGTATGAACCTCATAAAATTATCTATAGATTAGGCAGACACAGGATGACAACTAAACTATTTTTATTCTTTTTAATCTACATTCCATAGGTATTACCCATCTTTATATATGCTTTAGTTTGAGGTATAAGATGGAAATCTGAACCAGTTTGCGGCCTTCACATTCCATTCCTTTACAAAAAAGTTGAAACAAGAAGCCGAGTTCTTGTTACCTCAAGACGCTGTGGGTCAAGTAAACTCAGGAATGTATCTGATAATAAAAAAACACATTAAGTAGGTCTTACAAGTAGTTCATAAGGATTACTCAGACCTTATGACATATGAAAAAGGTGTTGCCCAATAATTTCTGTCCTCTCCAAAGAATTCTCTATAAAATCATTACAATCAATAAAAAAAATATTTTTTTTCCACCCAGTTTCACCAACATACCAAAAAGTTATTATTGTTAACTAAAAAATAAATGTATACACCATCACCTGTTTCCTTCACTAGTTCGTTCAGAATAGGGTTTTCAGTAAATAAAATTTATTAGCAGAAATAAATTTAGCAGCATCTGAAAGACAGCTGAGTGTGGCCATGATGGAGGCACACAAACAGAGGGAGGAACTTTCACAGGTTGGTTTCCTTTGACATACAAACATTTGCTACACCCATTATCCTTTGTTTACTCACAATCCTGTGCCAGACATGAGGTTTTGCCAAAAAAAAAGCTGTTGGTTTTGTTGAGTGACAGCTTCCTTTTCCAGGTCAGGCAGCAACTGAGTGACGTGACAAAGCGAGCTCAGGGAGTGGTGGAGAATGGGCAGCCTGAAGCAGAGGAGTGTCAGGTTAGGGTGCGACGCAGAAAGGCACCCTGCATCTCACTTGGCAGCATTAGATAGATTATTTAGCACTATGGCTGTGTCTCAAAGCGAAGCATTGCATACAGAAGTAGTCTTTCAAAAAATGGTTGCGGACAAAAAAATTATTTGCCGACTACGTTTTGATACAGTCTGTATTAATTGCCAAATATAGTGGGGAAAACAAGTATTTGATACACTGCCAATTTTGCAGGTTTTCCCACTTACAAAGCATGTAGAAGTCTGTCATTTTTATCATAGGTACTCTTCAACTGTGAGTGACGGAATCTAAAACAAAAATCCAGAAAATCACATTGTATGATTTAATTAATTTGCATTGTATTGCACGACATAGGTATTTGATATATCAGAAAAGCAGACCTTAATATTTGAAACCTTTGTTTGCAGTTACAGAGATCATACGTTTCCTGTAGTTCTTGACCAGGTTTGCACACACTGCCGCAGGGATTTTGGCCCCTCCTCCATACTACAGACCTTCTCCAGATCCTTCAGTTTTCGGGGCTGTCGCTGGGCAATACGAACTTTTAGCTCCCTCCAAAGATTTTCTATTGGGTTCAGGTCTGGAGACTGGCTAGGCCACTCCAGGACCTTGAGATGCTTCTTACGGAGCCACTCCTTATTGCCCTGGCTGTGTGTTTCGGGTTATTGTCATGCTGGAAGACCCAGCCACGACCCTCAATGCTCTTACTGAGGGAAGGAGGTTGTTGGTCAAGATCTCGCGATACATGGCCCCATCCATCCTCCCCTCAATACAGTGTCGTCCTGTCCCCTTTGCAGAAAAGCATCACCAAAGAATGATGTTTCCACCTCCATGCTTCACGGTTGGGATGGTGTTCTTGGGGTTGTACTCATCCTTCTTCCTCCAAACACGGCCAGTGGAGTTTAGACCAAAAAGCTCTATTTTTGTCTCATCAGACCACATGACCTTCTCCCATTCCTCCTCTGGATCATCCAGATGGTCATTGGCAAACTTCAGACGGGCCTGGACATGCGCTGGCTTGAGCAGGGGGACCTTGCGTGCGCTGCAGGATTTTAATCCTTGACAGCGTAGTGTGTTACTAATGGTTTTCTTTGAGACTGTGGTCCCAGCTCTCTTCAGGTCATTGACCAGGTCCTGCCGTGTAGTTCTGGGCTGATCCCTCACCTTCCTCATGATCATTGATGCCCCACGAGGTGAGATCTTGGATGGAGCCCCAGACCGAGGGAGATTGACCGTCATCTTGAACTTCTTCCATTTTCTAATGATTGCGCCAACTGTTGTTGCCTTCTCACCAAGCTGCTTGCCTATTGTCCTGTAGCCCATCCCAGCCTTGCGCAGGTCTACAATTTTATCTGATGTCCGTACACAGCTCTCTGGTCTTGGCCATTGTGGAGAGGTTGGAGTCTGTTTGATTGAGTGTGTGGACAGGTGTCTTTTATACAGGTAACGGGTTCAAACAGGTGCAGTTAATGCAGGTAATGAGTGGAGAACAAGAGGGCTTCTTAAAGAGAAACTAACAGGTCTGTGAGAGACGGAATTCTTACTGGTTGGTAGGAGATCAAATACTTATGTCATGCAGTAAAATGCAAATGAATTACTTAAAAATCATACAATGTGATTTTCTGGATTTTTGTTTTAGATTCCGTCACTCACAGTTGAAGAGTACCTATGATAAAAATGACAGACTTCTACATGACTTTAAATTTTGGATAATTACTAATTTTAATGATTTTGAAAGAAGTCTCTTATGCTCATCAAGCCTGCATTTATTTGATAAAAAATACATGGAAACAGTAATATTGTGAAATATTATTGCAATTTAAAATAATGGTTTTCTATTTTAATCTACTTTAAAATATTATTTATTTCTGTGATGCAAAGCTGAATTTTCATCAGCCATCACAGTCTTCAGTGTCACATGATCCTTCAGAAATAATTTAAAAAAGCCAATTATTCATTAAACTCTTTAATTCCATCCTTTTTAGGCTCAGGAGGCCCTCAAAAGACAGCTTCAGAGCCATCTAGATGAAGGCAGCTGAAGACACTGCAGTCATGGGTGATGAGTCAACAGACTGGAATGACATTGATATGGTTTTAATTAAGGATGTCATAGGTGCAATTGTTAAACCGTTAACTCATATTTATAATTTATCTTTCAAAACAGGTGTATTCCCGAGCAAAATGAAAATTGCTAAAATCATACCACTATATAAAGCTGGTGAGAGAAATCAATTCACGAATTACAGGCTATTGTCTTTACTCTTGCAGTTCTCAAAAATATTAGAAAAATTGTATGTAATTAGATTGGATGATTTCATTGAGAAGCATGAATTAGTAGTTGATAGTCAGTATGGATTCAGGTCAAAAAATCTACATCAATGGCATTAATTGAGTTAATGGAAGACATTACTAGTGCAATAGATAATAAGAAATATGCAGTGGGAGTATTGATTGATTTAAAAAAATCGTAAAAAATTGATTGATCTATTGTATCATTCGATACAATAGATCATTGTTTGTTAATCAATAAACTGGAAAAGTATGGTATTAGAGGAGTTGTAGATTGGATGAAAAGTTACATAAGTAACAGACTTCAATTTGTGCAGATAGAGGATTACAGATTTGAGTGCTTGGATATCACATGTGGAGTACCACAGGGGTCAATACTGGGTCCAAAATTATTTATTATGTACATTAATGACATATGTAGGGTGACTAACCTCTTAGAATTTGTGATTTTTGCTGACGATACTAATATTTTTTGTTCGGGTGAAAATCTTGAGCAGCTTTTGGAGATGGTCACAGCAAAAATTAATAAGTTAAAAATATGGTTTGATTTAAATAAATTATCGATAAATTTAGACAAAACCAAACTTATGCTTTTTGGTAATCTTAAAATCGATACACAAGTAAAAGTATTGATTAAAAAATGTTAAAATAGAAAGAGTGTACGAGATAAAATTTTTGGGTGTGATTCTGGATCACAAAATCTGTTGGAAACCCCACATCAAATATGTCAGAACAAAAGTAGCGCAGAGTATTGGAGTAATGGGGAAAGCAAGGCATGTATTGAGTAAAAAAGCACTTTATATTTTGTATTGTTCACTTGTGTTGCCTTACCTGAATTATTGTGTTGAAGTATGGGGCAACACCTACAAGACCACCTTACAAACATTAAGCACAATACAAAAAAGAGCAATTAGGTTAGTTAATAAAGTAGGATACTATGAGCACACCAATTTACTGTATTTAAAATTGCACACTCTAAAGTTTAATGATCTGGTTAAATTTAGGACCGCTCTACAATCTATAAAGCAATAAATAAACAGTTGACTGGAAACATACAACAACTATTCACAGACAGGGAGGGGGGTTATAACTTGAGAGGGGAGTTAAAATTGAGACAACATAGGACTCGGACAAAGCTCAAAAGTATGTGTATTTCTGTTTGTGGGGTGCTATTGTGGAATGGTCTGAGCAATTCGATCAAACAAAGTGTTAATATGTTGCAATTTTAAAAAAGGTACAAAAGTTTTATTTTTGATAATTACAGAAGTGGTGAGGGCGAATGATAACTCTTAACTTGTAAAGCATGCTCGACAATTGGTTTCTGTTTCTTTATCTTAATATTAGGATAATGCATCAGTTAATTCAGTAATTTTGTTTTGTATTTTAATGTTGATTTATCTTGTTCGATTGTGATTTGGTTTGGTTAGTAACTGGGGTAGGTCCTGATAAGCCTAGGGCTTCTACCTATCCCTTTTCGAACAGGTTGATTATTATGCAAAGTTTTTTTCCTTTTTGTTTGTTTTTATTTTACAGTTGGAAATTTTATGTGTTGCTGTCTTTTTATTTTATTATTTTCTTTTTCTTTTTTAAATTGTTCGAAATAAAGATTACATTACAAATGTTGTTCAGCTGAAGTATTTTGACTAGATGATAAACAGTATGATCAGTTTTTTGTGCCTTTTTTATGTTCACAAGTTCTAGAGTTTGATGTTGCATGTGAAATCACTCTCTCAAAGGGTGGAACGATTTAGTACTTTTTTACATTTTTAATGTACCCTTTAATGCTGACATGACAATAATGCTTCTGACTGGTGTTTTAGGAGTGTCTAGAGAAGGAGCGAAAGATGACCAAAGATTTGGGCCAGGCAGCCACCAAACTCCAGCAGCTTCTGAGAAACAGTCAGGACCAACTTGCCAAAGAGAAAGTCATAACCCTGCAGGATCAATTGCAAGACAAGGTAAAAACATTATACTGTACATAAGTTTATATAGTAAGATGAATAGCTGCATGTCTATGTTAATGTTGTTTATGTGCTTCGATTTCCAGGAGGGTGATGGAGAGCTGAAGCAAGGCACTTCTGTTTGAGATGGAAAACAGTTTTGCCAAAAATTGCCTTAAGATTACCAAAATGAAGCATTCCTGATTTTTTTTCGGGATTCCTGAAATCTAACTTGTGCAAACATTTTATTTAGGAGGTGTGCTGAAACTATTTTCACTTTACATTCCAGCTTAAACCTTCTGTCAGAAATGATTCCTCAACTGCCTTATGTGTTCTCGCATCTCCTCCTGATGTCAGTGTTAAAAGGGAAACTGTATGTACGTTATTCGTACATCAACTAGTGCAATTAATTACTTGTAAGTGAATGAGTGCATAATTGTATGGTACATGGGAACAGCATTTGGAATGCCCTCTCTGTAGCTGGCTTCAACACCACTGTATAACTTTGATAATTAATAAATAAACAGCAATATGGCTTTCAATGTTTCAAAAGGGCTGTTCATTTCTGCAAAGATGCATCTGGATTTAGAATTCAAAAAATACTTTGGATTAACATTTCATAATGCCCAATATGACACAAACTGTGTTAAAGTTTTTGGTATCTTTTGTAAAACATTATGAGTTGAGACACACATTTGTTTTTGAAAATCACTTGATTTTATTTTTCCAAGTACACATTTCTGCTTTAGGTAACAGTCCTATTGTTAATTTCCGGCATGGGATTTTGGATGTCACTATACTATATTTGATGGTTTGTTATTGTAAACAGTGTTATTATTTTTTTAATAATGATCATTAATGTAAATGGATAATTATGGGTTTTTCTCACTTGATCAAATGACATACAAATACTGGTTCCAATGAAATACAAAGTTTATTATTAATTATTCCCCCAAAACACATTTCTCAGAGGTAAAAATCTTTCGTTTTGACCAAAAGGCTGATAGTGGGGTGTTGGGTCAGTGGTCTTTTTGGTGTAATTTTACACACTTTTCCCCTCCAAAGACTTTACAACATCCCGCCCACCAAGTTTCTCCACAAGACAGTATGCTTCTTTGTCTGCGTGGTCATTAATTTGCCACTCAAATTTCAAACCTGTGTGGAGAAAAAAAAAGCACCATATGTGTTATTTTTAACTTTTCAGTTTTCCTTTTTCTGTAAAACTGCTTTGGAACCATGTGTACGGTAAGAAACGCTAAAAAATAAATTGAAATATTCATTATAACATTAAAAGGACAATAACCAACCTGGCATTTTGGCCTTGACAGCAGACTTTGAACTTGCATAGACCATTTTATTCCTCATGGGGGCGTCCTCAGGGGCACTGTACAATAAAGAGAGACAAAAGCAAGATGGTGAAAATTTGTGCTGTCCTTATGGCTGCTTCACACCAAATGCATTGTGTTCCAATGTGTTGCTTTTGTATTGTTTTTCTATAAAAACACGTGCTAGATGGACGTCTATGACTGTTGCACCATGTCCCGCATCAGCCCTACATTTTATACATTTAAATACCAAGCCTTATTTTCATATAATTTTAGCAGTTTAATACAATTGAATACTTATCTTTTTAAAAGCAAAAAACACATTCTGTCATTCTGTGTAAACGGCCACTATGAGCTGATGGTATATTTCTGTTTTTCTGCTGGGTGCTCAAGTTCCCACCAAAACTCACTTTCAGATGTCAACAATAAGAGACATTCTTGATGACTGACTAAATTACAGCCAAAATACGTGCACATATTGTAAGAGTAGCTTATCGAATTGGCATGATTTACTATTCTTACTAATATCAGTAATATACTTAGCACAAGCAAACAGCCACACAGAACACAAGCCTGCAAAAGTAGATTAATCAGAGAGTTACAAGGGCCTCTTACGAAAAGATGAAGACCAGGTCCTCCTTCACACTCTCCTTGTTCATATAGGTGCAGTCGTACAGGGCGTAGCGGCACTCTTTGGAAGGAAGCTTACTGATGACCGTCTTAAAGACGTCCCCCGTGTTCTCCACATCTTTGACTCTCAGGCAGTTTTCGTGGTCCACTATGATGCTCTTTTGGTCTTCACTCAAACGCATGATTACTAATTTAAATCTTTCTTTCTCGTTGGCACCTTGGAAGCGCACCTTGATTGCTTCATAGTGGGTTACCACCTCATCACTGATGGCTACACCTGAGGCCTGGGTGAAATAAGGGAAAGAATAATGATAAAACATGTGAAAATGATAACTATACAACTGAACTATTAAGTAAGATGGCATTTACTTCCAGATGACTTTGAGGAAGACACAATTGAAACACAAAGCAGATCATTGTATGAACCTCATAAAATTATCTATATTAGATTAGGTAGACACGACTACAACTTAACAATTTTTAATCTTCATTCCATAGGGATTACCCATCTTTATATATGCTTTAGTTTAAGATATGAGATCTGAACCAGTTTGCGGCCTTCACATTCCATTCCTTTACAAACAAGTTGAAACATGAAGCAGAGTTACACCTCAAGACACTGTGGGTTAAGTTAACTCAGGAATGTATCGGAATAATTTTTGGTAACACTTTCCATTACAGTGTCCATGTCTATAATTTTATATACAACAATAGTACGAGTTTTCCACCTAACTAGACCCAGTCAGACTTTCAGCTCACCCAGGAACCACTGGTATAAATAATCAACTTCCTTTAACTACCATTACTACATAACAGTCAACTAATTATTAGTTAGAAAGTCAGGATATAGTTCTAAATGTCATGAAATCTTAATATCTGTATGCTATATCTTCTCCACAGGCCCAGTGGAGTAACTTGGTGGACACCCAAGGGACCACAGACCCCTTGTTGAAAACACTAGTAATAGCAATAAATTAATATGTAATTCTAATCTGCTCAAATCACAAAATAATAACACATTAAGTAGGTCTTACAAATAATTCATAAGCATTACTCAGACCTTATGACATATGAACACCTTGATGTAAGGTGTGGCCCAATAATTTCTGTCCTCTCCAAATAATTCTCTATATAATCATTACAATCCATACATAAATATAAGAAAATCAGCCTATAGAAATGACTTTTCCACCCAGTTTCACCAACATGCCAATACTTTTTATTATTATTATTATAGTTGTTGACTAAAAATACATTTAATACAGTATCACTTTTCCATCACTAGTTCATTCAGATTAGGTTTTTCAGTAAATAAATAAATATTCCATGTAGTTCGTTAATCAATGAGAGACCATGAAAATCACAAGCAGGAATTAGCAGATTGCAGTTTCAAATAGTTATAGATGGAGTTTAGCAGGCTATCACACTGTAGCACATGTAGCCTACGGTTTTGAACAGTTGCAATTCAAATAACTGCATTGCATTAACGAGAACCAGTTTTTACCAAATGATTTAACGGCATGCAAAACGCGTACTGAAAGAAAACTGTCCCGGTGTGAGGACTTACCATTCCTGCCGCTTGTTCTGAGACGGAAGAGAAGAAGTGCGTAGTTGCCTAAACATTAAGGAAGCGACTCGGATATGAACACGCCCTCTTCAACAGCAACAGATCAGTCCTGAATGACCTGCTGAGTCTGACTTTCCACCTGTTGTCCGCAACTGCAAACACCTTTTAATTACAAAATGATTGTGTTGTGATATATCCTGTTGACGTCCTGTTATTTATATTTTGTACTTGTGATAAGAAAGTCAGATAAAACAAAGTGATATGTTTATGACACATGAAAGATTTCAGGTGAGTCAGACGCAGTTTGGAGGTGGAGACTGAACAAAACGCCCTTATAAGGAAGACAGAATCTTTCAGAAAGCCTGACAAAACCCCTTATTTGGCGAGAGGGGCACAAATATTATTTTGCATTGATGGGAGGATTCAGGTGTAAAAATGCACACTTGACGTAGGACAATCATAATCACGATGATTATTATAGACCAGCAAATTGTTTTTAATGTTTCATGTTAATGATTAAGTTTATTTCTGCTTACTTACTCAGGGCCAGTGCTGTTTTTTACCATATGGCCCATTCCAAAATTGCCAAGATTTTATTCAACTATTTATCAAAACTCATAGAACACTTTAAATTTACAGTATTTGCTGATCGTAAACCTGTAAGATTTAAAATGTTTATTCTGAAAATAAATTTGCTAGAAAAAAAAGTCAACTTTGTTATAGACAAATTAGGTCAAATATATAGTCAACAAATGTAATTTCCTCTGAATATTGCTTTAAAAAGAAATGAAATGCTTTGAAATGTCATGTAGTAAGAATGTTAGTTATGACACAAGTATGTCTATGACACAACTATGACACAAGAGTTGACATTGAGTTATGAATAACAGAGTGTAACACCCATAGTCAGAAGACCAAAAACAACATTTTCTGCCTGACACTGAAAGTTTTGAAACCATTTTTGAATGTATAAAATTGGTTAGTTCTTCCCTTTTCAGCAAAATATTTCATGAGTCCTTATTTTATTTTTCTTCACCCTGACCTCCTTTTCTTAAAGCTGCAGTCCGTAACTTTTTTGGGTTAAAAATTATCCAAAATAAATTTGAGCAAATACATAACCAGCCAGTGTTCAAAACTATCTGCTTGCCATAGCTCGATTCTAAACGGCGAGCTTGTAATAATGTTTTTAATTCCAGTGGTACTGGTGGATTTCCGCGGGAAATTCGAGCATGTCTGTGCGTCATTACGTCACATCTGTACACATAAAGAAGGAGTCTCGGCTAATAGGCTTTATTGCGTATAGGGATGCTGAAGGTGGAGATTTATAGCCTTTTCTCACAGCACTTGATATAATTAAACTTATCAATTTGATGGCGGATCCAAAAAGGTTCAAACGACAATCACCAGTGACAACTAGAGATTCACCCGTTGTAAAATGCAAAAGACTTCAGACTTCGGGGTGGCTACAGAAAAAAAGAGACTTGGTTTGATGTGATATGATAAGCGATCGTTAAGATTTAATCAGCGCGATTTACTGCAATGTTTTTTTCCCTTTAGTTGGTCAGAACAAAAGTGGATGTTACTTCAGGTGACTTTTTTCAGTGAAAATTCTTACGTTGGTCATACTTCCAAAAAGTAGAATCTGTGATTCCGAATGACAGTATCCACATCGTCGCGGTGACTGATAGCCGCACATTCTCCTCAAAACATTAATAAATCCGCGCTGTGCCGTGCCGAGGCACAACCCACGTAAAGTTGATAATTCCGCAAATAACTGCAATTGCAGATTTCGAACAGAGATGGCGACAAAGAGGAAAAACTACGGACTGCAGCTTTCAACAATAAAAACAAATCAAATTCTAATTTAAAGGTAGGGTATAGGCAATTTTTTTCACAAACCCTTTTTGTTATTCTTGTTGAAACATCCTGATAGCAATCAATCACAGAAGTGGTCTATATATTAAACTTTTTTTTTTTAAACATATATCATGAAAGTCTCAGGACAAAAAAATGTTCGTCCAATCATTGCATTCGGTCATGTCCTGCCTGTCAGCGTATGTATTTCCATACCTCCACGCGCAGGTATCACACGTCTATCTATCTATCTATCTATCTATCTATCTATCTATCTATCTATCTATCTATCTATCTATCTATCTATCTATCTATCTATCTATCTATCTATCTATCTATCTATCTATCTATCTATCTATCTATCTATCTATCTAAGAGGGTAGCACAGTTGCCTGACCACAAGAAGGTCCTTGGTTTGATGAGTTTGCCTGTTCTCTCTGTGTTGTTGTGGGTTTCCTTATCTGTTTCCCCCCACAATCCAAAAGACATGCAAGATGGTGAATCGGAGACACTGAACACTAAATTGCATGTTGGTGTGAATGTGTGCGTCTTTGTATGAGCCCTGTAATAAACTGGCGTGGCCATCTCTCCAGGGTGTTTCTTGTGCCAGTGGCCCGAGATGCTGCTCCTGCATTCCTGTAAAGAATGAAGCGGTTTGGAGGATTAATTGATTAATGCATTTATTTATTTATGTTGGAGAGGAAGAGGCCAAAATAGTGATTCCAACACTCAAAATTCCAACACTCAGAATGTAAAATCATTCTAGGGGACAGAAACCCAAGTTTACCCAATTGAAGAATAATATGCCTATTGTAGGAAAATTGCACTCAGTGCTGTTTTGCTTTACTTTGGTTTTATGTTTTATTTTAATCCATGATGATGATTAAAAGGCTTAGACTAGTCATTCACTTTAAACCTTTTAAGAAAACGTGTCTGTTTTGTTGCATTATTTATCTGTTGTTGCATCTTGGCAAAGTGTGGAGATTCATTCATTTTTTACTCATTGGTTATAGCCAGTATTTCATTTGTAGACACTTTTGCTTTGTAAGTTTAGAGGGACTTACGGCACACCTATAATTGTTTTAAAGTCTGAAGCTCTGTAGGTCCAGCTGAGCATGATGGGACAGGTCTCTGCTCATGGAGGAATGTGTTTGCATGTGCAGTCCTGATAAAGACATATCCATACACACTCTTGCTGTAAAGGTGCACATTAACTAATATTACATTTATTATAACATGTTAGCTCCATTTATCTAATTTGATTGGAGAAACAGCATGGCTGATATAGAATTACTGCACTGAGACTTTCACTTCTTGTAACGCTCCTCTCTGCAGCCTCTTGTTTACCGATGATTCACATCCATGCTGCTTTTTATTAGGCCTATACAGCACTCTTGCTCTTGAGATATAGTCTGATTAAATTACACTCAGTAAGTTGTGATACTTCATGCTGTATGGAAATGCAGATGTCAGTAGCTGGTTGAAAATATCTAGGCTTATGTGACAGAAGCTGTTTCTGATATTGTTCATGCATGTTACTACTGAGATTTGATAACATTTTCTTTGGGAAACTTTTCAGGGAATACAGACAGCGATGACGTTAACCATATTTGGCAATGGGTAGCCTACATGGAAAGTCACTCAAATTAATAATAATAATCAATAATAACGTTTTATTCACTAGATGGCGCTATTACACCACCATAAAAACTGCATTGAACTGGTTTCTCTTCAATTACCTAACAATGATCTATCACACAGACAATCTACTGTGTCCAAGTCACCTATGCTGCATGTCTTTTGGATGTGGGGGGAAATTAAAGGAAAATTATGACACATAGTTAGAATAGAGGTGCTCTATTCTAACTGTGTCATACTTTTATTATTATTATTATTTTGAGTGACTTTCCATTTACCTATTGCCAAATATGGTGAACGTCATCGCTGTCTGTATCCCCTGAAAAGTTTCTCAAAGAAAATGTTGATATCAAATCATTTTTCACTCATTGGTTAGGCCTATAGCCTGTATTTCATTATTTCATTATTCATTTGTAGACACTTTTGTTTTGTAAGTTTATGGTGTAAGTTTAAGTTTATGGTTTAGAGGGACTTACGCCACACCTATAATTGTTTTAAAGTCTGAAGCTCTGTAGGTCCAGCTGACCATGATGGGACAGGTTCTCTGCTCATGGAGAAATGTGTATGCGCAGTCCTGATAGCTCACTTGTCGCCTGTCAATGACGTAATATCCGCGTTATGCCTGGCTTCCGCCATAGTAACCATGGTGACAGACGTGGACAACTGCGTCTAGCGGCACGATCACGCTGTTGTTTCGTTCAAACATAATGGACCATGGCAAGCAGACTTTGGGACAAAAAGTGAACTAAAACGAGGATCAATATCGGCGTTTCGAGATGCCAAGAGCTCCATGTCCGCGACAAACTTCGACTTGACAGAGACGCTGCTCTTTCATGTAAGTTAGCCTATTAGACAGGTGAGCAAATGTACGTAAAACTAATCAATGTTATATAGCTCAACATGATGAAATGTTAGAATATGATCAGTAAGTTATGTTATTCTAATCTTGATATAGCTTACTGCTAGTCTCATACAGCCAACAAACTAACACGAATAACATTATTACTTTCAAGTGAAACAGCGCTGAGTTACAAGTTTAATTCGTCAAATAAACTGACCTGTATGAGTAATTAGTAATACAGGGCTTGCGGGTAGTTCGGTGGAATGAAATGTCCTTATTCCTTAATATCCGCGGGACTCGCGTGTGGCGCTGATATCTGTCTCTCATTAGCAATCCCGCCCTGCTTCATACCACAGTCATGTTAAAAACATCAATGTATTCACTCATCCATAAACATTATTAGATCAATCGACATGACGACAAGTTCCATAATTCCGCTTATGCGTCATCAACCTACGCCTTTGTTATCGTAAGAGGTTAGCGACCCCTAGCGGCGAAAAAAAAAGACATATTGTAGCTTTAATGTTATCTAGTGTATGATAGTTTGCTCCAAAACAATGACAAAATTCGCATTTGAAAGATATACGCATTTAAAATGACCAGTTTCTCTCTGGCACCAATACGGATAAATGATTTTGATTAGCCTACATCATTCCACTTCCACACCTCAGCTTCTCATCAGATTTTCTGTCCAATCAAATACTCTATTGAATCTAAAGCATACAACCCCCTGCATTATTTACTGTTTTCTATTTTGTGAATGGCAGTGCACTATATAGGCAACAGTGAATGATTGAAGCAGTGTAAATATGCTT